CACACACACACACACACACACACACACACACACACACACACACACACTTGGTACAGAGTGAAAGATAATAACTAACTAATTGAAGAGAAGGGAAGCTTTTAATAAAATATACATACAGCTAGACTTGCTAAGGCTCCAGATGGTTCACAGGCAGGCAGTACGCCACCTCAGAACCTTGGCCCTGGTTGCTGCCTTCCTAGAACTGGGAGAAAATTGTGCCTTCGATAAAGAAGTCAACCCATACTGTGTATCTCTGAGAGACCAGTGTGAAAACACAGGGGTTACAGGAACACAGTGGCCCGGCCCAGCCCTCCATGACGACGACAAACCTTCAGAAAGTCTGCCCTCTACCTCTACCTTGTCTAAACAAGACGAAACAGACAGACAAGTGGGCTATTGACTGGTTCCTTAGTCCTCAGTCCTCCTGGCTGGAAAATCATCCCTACTAGAAGGCCGTGGGCCATGCTTTCAAAGCTCCGGAAGAAAATTCCAATCTACAATTCTAAGTCCCAGCAAACTATTAATCAAATCAAAGGGCAAGTTGAACATAAAATCATCTTCCTAAATAGAAACATTTCTTCCAGTTTATCCTGTATTAGGAAGCTACCTGGAAATGTACTCCAGCAAAAGGAAGGAACGAAGCAAGAAACAGCAACACAGAAAATATAGGACACAGATCCATTCTAAGAGAGCAGTAGGAGAAATCTCCAGGACAGCTGTGTGTAGGAAGGCTTAGGGGGTGGAGGGTAAGGACATACCGATCCTGAAAATGCATCCATATATGCACACACACACACATATGCATACACATATATGTACACAACACATATATGCATACACACAACATGCTCCTAACCTATGGCTTATTGGTATTGGACAATAAAATCATAACAATGCACATGCTATTTTGTAGATTTAGAAAACATTAACAATGACTCTTTGGAAGCGCACCACCAACATGGCTTAGAAGACAGCTTTTGGAAGGCAGACTTGAGAGCAGAAAGGCAAGGCTCTGGTACACAGGTGATCACCATGTGGAGTCAGGAAATAAAGGAGAAATCTGATGCATCCAGAAATACAAGCTTCAGCACAGAAAATAAAATATCATAAAATGCAAATTGGGAGAAGGGAACACAGAGAGGGACATTACCATAGAGTGAAATGGAAGGCATTGTTTAAATGTGGAGAATCAGGACACAGGGACACAATCAGGTCCGAGCCAAAGAGCTCAAATCCAACCTTTCCTGGGTGCTGCTGAGGAGGAGGAGGACCACCACTGTCAGCATCGTTTCCACACTGTGTCAGCTGCTGCCACTCAATAGTCAACTGTCATCTATTCAGGTGTCTGTTAACAGGGAAGGGGCTGAAATGTGTATACAACAAGATTTTATACAGCACTTACATATGAAATACACAGAAAAAGCAAATTTATAGAGCTAGAAGTTGATTAGTGGTCACTTGGCGCTGACCAGATGTGACCAGATTTTTTTATGACGGTGGCTGGCAACTGTGGTGCTTGGCTTTAACTGTCAACTTGACGCAACCTGAAATTTGGGGAAAGTGCCTTAGTGATGGACTCTCTACACTGAGCTGGCTTGTGGGCATGTATGTGAGGGCAGGGCTGTTGTGGTTGATGGAGCTGTTTGTTTTTCTGGAAGATCCAGCCACCTGTGGGCGGCACCATTCCCTAGGCACCAGATTCGGAACTGTGTAAAAGTAGAATGGAGCTGAGCAACAGGTGAACAGGTAAACGAGCACACATGCATTCATTTCTCTCTGCTCTTGACTGTGGGTGTGATGCAAGTCTGGTGTTTTGAGTTCCTGCCACGGTAATTTTCCTGCAATGGTTGGCTGTAAGCTGAGGCTGTGAGCAGAGATAAAGAGATAAAAAAAAAGAGATAAAAGAGAAATGCTTTTTGTCTGAGTATTTTAACACAGCAACAGAAATGAAACTAGAAAAACTAGTTTTTCAAACCACTGAGATGAAATAGGTGACGTGTGAATTCTACTTCAACAAAAGGTAAAAATAGGTGGCCATTTGTTTCTGGGTTGCTCTACGTAACTCCAGTCACTGTGTTTTTCCTGCAGTGGGCTGAGGGAGTGAACGTGCACACAAGTTTCTGGGTCTAAAATGAGCCACATCCTTAACCCGGAATCTACTTTTAACGTAAAACATGAACTAAATAAGGCCTTTTCCACCTTCAAACTTCTATGCTGAAGAAGTTGGGGGCTTCTTTCCTAGGGTACTCTTTACTTTTTCTTTGTCATCAACTGAGTAACTGTTAGCATGCCCATCAAAATCATTTCGATTTTGGACTTCTTTATGGGCCATCAAATGCTCCCTTTTTCTTCACACAAACCACCAATCAGAAGTGGTTTTCACTGGCATTTTGAGGCTGTCTTTTGCAGTGTGAGAGCCGTAAAACTGTAGCCAGTGAATTTGTTGTGCTATAATTTTAACATTAAGTATGCAGCACAATGCTTTGTGAGTCCATCGCAGCTCTCACTTTGGGAGAGCTCTAATTTATGACGGAATTGACCACAAACACGTAAATGGCTTCAGGTTCTCCCTGGGGCCTGACTCTCATTTCAGTACAGTTTGGGTTCTGTGTGTTAGGTGGGCTCATCTCTGCAGTGACTGATGTGAGCTTCTGCAGTCATCTGTCACTGTGAGCTGCTTGCCAGTGCTTTGGGGGCTCACTAAATGGAGTACACCTGTGGTTTGCTTCTTCATCGATAAAAATTCAGCTATGGCTCTTCAGAAGTAGACAGTCAGCGAACTGCAGGTTAAGGTCTTTCAGGGCCTTGCAGGATATAATTTTTCTTCAGCTTAGTGTTTCCTGTAATCTTCAAAGGCATGGTCTGAAGTGTACAAAAAAGGCTTCTCATTTGTCATATTTGCATTTAGTCAGGTTCTTGTGTCCCTCCTCCATCCCTTCTTTAGCCGTGCATTCACAAACCTAATCAGTCTGTCAATGAGAACGGCGGACATCACTGAGTCTGCTGGTTGGATTGATAGCAACGGTGCTGGATGCTACCTCCTTATCCCTGCATTTTCGCTTAGAAAAAACAAATCACGCCCTCAGAGCAAGTTCTGCAGTCTGAAAATGGCCTTGGGAGGATGTGCTTGCACCAGGAGACAGGCTGTAGGTCTCCAGATGCTGCCAGCCCAGCTGTGTGAGTGAGTAGCATCTCTTGACCTTCCTCAAGAAGCCGTGTGCTCCCTACCATCCTTCAGTTCCACGTGTCTGTCTGGAAAGAGGCGCCTCTGTCCTCCATGAGACAGCTAAGTCTCGTGTGTACCAGGACATGGATACAAACATTTTACTCATATCTCCGGCACCAAAACTGAGAACACAATTACCACAGATTTCTTACCAAAAGCATCTCACAGGCAGAATTCACCGTCCTTGCAGATTATCAGTCGCTGGGAAATGTGAGAGACTGGAACACAGCGAGTTAAGGTGGCTTGAAAAGCCCAGCTTCATGTAGAGCTCCCAACCTCCGTGCTTCTTGTTCACGTCAAGGACTAGCTGGCTGCCAGGGAGCGTGCCTTCCTCCAGACAGACAGCAATCTGATGTTCTAAAACCACGTGCGGACAGCAGCTCCAGAGAGGCGGCTCCCTCCTCAGCATTCAGCAGCACGGCGAGTTGCTCACGAGCCATGTCTGAGGCCCCTCTTCAGATTCACAGTAAGACATCACATCATTCATCCAACTAGGCTCTGAATCCCAAGTGCTCATTAATTTATTCTCTCAGTGTTCCAGACAGAAGGAAATGAATGACTTTTTTTTAATTTTTATTTTTTAGAATGGGTTTGAGGTACAAATCTATGATGTCAGTTTGCCTAAAATGCCAGGTCCTTTCTTACTTTTTTTCCACTGTAGTTCCATACTTGCCAGTTCATCTGATGTATACTGGCCTTTTCCTTTAGGGCCACCTTCCCTCGCTTGGGTAGCAACAGGAGACGGGAACTGGCTTTCATTTTAAATGCCAAGCAGGCCTTTCTAAGTGGCTGAAAGCATCACTCCCTTCTAGTCATTCCAGGGCCTGACTCACACTGAAATACAGTGACTCCCACCTCCTGCTTAGCTTTCTGGCTGCTCTTGCCATTGGCGAGAGTTCCTTCCCCATCTACTCCACAGCATGTGATGACGTGGAAAGGGCGCTCACGGGGCTTCCTTGGCAGTATCATTGCCCCTCAGCAGGACCGGGTACACTCATGGATAGAGCTGAGTAGCCACGGCGAGGCATGCACCGAGGGCCTGTGCCAGCGATGCTTTGTGCCCCACAAGAATAACGTGGACCTCCAGGATGGAAAGACAGACCACACAGGCTGCCGGACAGGCTGTTCCTTCAGCCAGGATACCGATGACTTCATTCCGGCTGGCTGCTGCCTTTGACCCTTGCTGCTGGCTTTAGAGGTGCTGTGCGGTCCATGCCCACCTCCTTCTCGACTCCCCTCAGCCAGCAGCACGGCCGGAGTAAAGGAAATGCTGGCTTTCACGAAGAACTCCCCAGGATGACAGCCTCAAGAAACAGAGAGGCCAGGATGCGCTGGCTGATGTGTCCCTAAGCACAGGCCCCAAAGTGTGGGAAACCAGGGACCACCACACGCCATTTACAGCCTTGATTGCAAAAACTCCAGAGAGCACACCGACTGTTTTCCAGATCCGACCACCAGGTGAGGTATGCCGAGACCTCAAAGATGCCAGCCTCCTACCGCGTCATTGCTTCTTTCTTCGT